CCCGGCTCGGCTCTCCCGGCTCGGCGTTCCCGGCGCTCCCAGGCGGCTCCGCGCCGGCCGAGCCCAGAAGCCGCCGAACAGGCTCTGCCAGCCGGGAACCGGCTGCGACAGCCCCGCGGGGTGGCACCGGCACCGGCAGGGSACGGCGGCTCCGGGGGAAGCCCCGGGAATTTCGGGACGGCGGCTCTGGGTGGGCGCCCCGGGAATTTGGGGATGCAGCTCCAGGTGGGCGCACAGAGAATTTTGGGACACTGGCTCCGGGTGGGCGACCCGGGAATTTCGGGACGGCAGCTCCAGGTGGGTGCCCCCGGAATTTCGGGACGGCAGCTCCGAGTGGGTGTCCCGGGAATTTCGGGATTCTAAGAACGGGCACACTCAACGATCCGCAGCGCCCGCGGCAGGGTCAGGGCAGGATTTGGGGTCGGATTTCCAGGGAATACCGGGATAAAACAACCCAGCTCCTCGTGCTGCCACCACCGCGAGCTTGGGGACATCCCGAAGCTGTCGGGTGGGCGCAAGGACGCAGGGCACGGGCGGCACCCTGGTGCCCCAAGCAGAGCCGCTGTCCCCAAACGGGGCGRTGTCCCCAGGCTGGGCCGGTGTCCCTAAGCGGTGCCGGTGTCCCCAAACGGGRCTGGTGTCCCCGAGCGGAGCCGGCAGCGGGGGCAGGAAGCGCCGTTGGGGCCGCGGGTGACTCGGCATTTCCTGACGCTCTGGGGCTTTTTTGGTGGCTTTGCACGAGCGGCAGCGGTGACAAAAAGGGGGGGCGCCCAAACCCCCTCCCCGCCCCCCCCGTTCCGGCCCCGCTGCGCCGGCGCCGTTCCCACAGCTGCGGGGTCATGGATGGCCCCGGCCGCCCCCGGGGACAGGTACCGGGCTTTGGGGACATGGGGACCCCCCCAGCTCGTCCCGAGGGATGCGGGAGCTTGGGGGGGAGTGGAACATCGCGGGCAGGAGGATTTTGGGGTCCCCCCCSGCTGTGGCAATGCCTAGGGGAGCCATCGGAGCCTCGGGATCCCGGAAAAGGGGGGCTGGTCCCCGTGGGAATGGGGCTGGCTCCGAGGGGGCACGGTCCCTGCCCGGGGGGGACACCCCGGGGTGCTGCGCTGGRGGCTCGGGGGTGGCGGTGACTCGGGGTGCTCAGGGACCTGGGTGACCCTCAGCGGCTCCATTGGGGTGCAGGGGTCCCCATGGTGGTGCAGTGGGGTGCACGGGGATGTCGGTGACCCCACAGTGATGTACTGGAGCTCCCAGGGCTGTGAGGGACCCCAGGAGGCAGCGCCGGGTGCTCAGGGACGTGGGTGACCCTAAAGGGGCCCTCTTGGGGTGCTCGGGGCCTTGGGTGACTCCACGGTGCAGCATCGGGTGCTGAGGGATGTGGGGCACCCCAAAGGGGCCGTTTTGGGGTGCTCAGGACTCTGAGTGACCCCAAGGTGCCACATGCAGTGCCCAGGGCTGTGGGTGCTCCCGGGGCGCTGGGTGGGGATGCCTGGTGTGGGTGTGTCACTGCCATCACCGCTGTCACCACTGTCCCTGCTGCCACCGCTGCCACCATTGCACAACCACAGCTGGGCCGGGCAGGGCCCACTTGGCCCTGATTGGCTGCAGGGACAGGTGTTCTGTGAGCTGATTGGTCAGTGAGTTCCGCAGGTTGTGCTGTGCTGGGCTCTGATTGGCTCAGCACCTCCACAGGTGTTGGGGCTCTGGCTGCTGATTGGTCAGCGAGTCCACAGGTAGTTCTGTGCTGGGTTCTCATTGGTCAGTGGTTCTACAGGTAGTGCGGTTCTGGGCTGTGATTGGTCAGTGGCTACCAGAGGTGTCTCTCACATGCCTGAGTGGGCAGGGCTGGTTTCTCTGGCTGTGATTGGCTGAATCCTGAGGGCAGGGCCCATGGAKGACTGTGATTGGCCAATCCCTGCGGGCGGGGGCCACAGAAGACTGTGATTGGCTGCTGGCCCCAGCCCCACCCTCCCTTGCAGAAGGACCTGTCCTACCTGCAGCAGTGGCTCGAGGCCTTCGTCACCAGCTTCGAGAGGGTCATCGCCCTGCCCTCACTGGAGCCCCGCAGGTGGGACCCTAAAACCTCGGGATGACCCTCCTAGGTGACCCCAAACACCCCT